GTATACATGTTTGTATTAGGATTCCCCCCCCCCCCCCCCCCAGGCGCAGGTGAGACTGGGTGTAGATTGGAAACTGATTTACAAGTAAGAAGGTACAGCTCGACAGGAGATGGGCCATGTCTGGGGAGATACAGAAACCCCAGGTGCTGATCATTCGTGTGAATGACCCGAGATGGATATCATGGAAATCCTGAGGCAGATACATGTGAATACAGCGTTCCCGAATTCCCGTAAATTTCATCAAGGATTCAACAAACTCCGGACAGTGGTTTGTTCTCCCTCATCACCAAAAAGGAAAATCTTATTAACATATGGACTCTGAATAGAAGAAAAGACTGATTGCTGAAATCTTGGCCTCAGGCGGAATTTTCCCTATAAAAACCGCCTGTGCCAGGATGGAGGTGTGTGGGCATGGAGGAAAACCTCTGCTGAGGCTGACTCCTTGTTGCACACCCAGGGCCGACCCCGGGCTCGGCTCTATTCTTTCCTTGTGGCTGGCTAGATAGAATTTGATTGCAAAATAAATATTTTATTTTTCATATTAATTTGGCTGGACAAATTTTCATTTATAACAGTGAAGTACTGTCTATACGGTTTTTTACTTGCTTGATTGCTTTGTTTGTTTGTTTGCTTGCTGTGAGTATTGTTTTTAGGCTTTGCTGTGAGGTGTGTTTTAAGGAGAGAGTGAAGGCATACGAGAGCGTTGTGGAATCATGGTTGTCCCAACCATGGCAAGATGGGTGGAAGGAGTCACTCTCTTCCAGTAGCTTGGACTTGATTCCTGGGAATTCATGATCCCCAAGAGCAATTGGGTAATAAGGGGAAACAGCAGCTTTATTTAGAGGAACTATTTAGGACCTCTGCAGAGAAATTAGTTGCACTAGATTGAAGACAGCCAGCACCAAAGGATTTGAATATCCAGATGAACAGGAGAGGTGGAATCATCTGTTTCTGCAGGCAAGGGCAACATCTTGTGTGGGTGTTGCTTTAAGTGCAGGTCCTTCAGAGACTGTTGGTACTGTTCCTCTGGTAGAAGACACATTGCATGTCCCCAGCATTGGCTGCAGGGTCAGGGAGACCCTGAACCAGAAATTTTAGAGTATTTCTGTGCAAAATCACATTTAGTCCTGGGGAATTGGAGTGTAAGGGAAGAAGGTTGGGAGAAAGATTGTGCAAGAGTGTGAGAAGAGATTTGGGTGGAAGTGAAACAGGACAAGGAGGAGAAAATAATGGGATCAGGTGAGAGCAAAGAAATCCCTAGGGCAAGTCCTCTGGGCTGAATTTTAGCCCACTGGAAGGAAATTACAGGTCTGGGAAACATAGAATCCAAATGCATGCTAGTGAAGTACTGAACACAATTGTGGTCTTTTTATACAGACAGGAAAATGGAGAAATATGGCCACAGACTGGGACCTTAGAATATAACTCCTTGCTGCAGTTTATGCTTTTCCTTGGGCCTGAAGGGAAATGGAGTGAGGTTTCATATGCAGACATGTCCTTTTCCCTCCGAAATCATCCTGAATGGTAGAGGGATTGTGGAATTAGAGCCCCATCTGATCCCCTGGTATTAGCCCTTGAAAAACAAAACAAAGCTAATAGAGGGAAACTTAAGCAATGTTGCAGTACGTGCTCAATCAACCAGTACTGCATGCATCATGACAAGATTTATCAAGCAGAGACACAAAAGAAAGAGTCACTGGACTTATTTGAGCCATCCCCTGAGGAGCAAGGAGGACTAAGGAGAGGAGCAGCTACAGCTCCCTTGGAAAGGAGACAAGCTGGGCCATCTGCTCCTCCACTTACTTCTGAATTACAAAAATTGTCACATCTCCTATTGCCTGATAATAACAGTGACGGTGAAGAATGTTTTGTGAGCAGTCCCATAGCATCCCGGACTAGAAAACAAACATGGGAAATAATACAAGCCCCTTTACGAGAGGCAGTAGGATCTGCGAACCAAAGGCTATTAGTTAAAAGTTTTTCTTTTTCTACAATTGACTTAGAGGGCTGGGAAAGAATTGCCAAGAGCTATAGAAGTGATCTGATAAAAACAACCAAAAGGTTAAGATATATGATTAAGCAACATAAACCAGACTGGTTTGATCTACAGTTATTGTTGTAGGCATTAACGGAGACAGAAAAACAGTTAGTTCTGAAAACAGTGGGGGACTTAGCAGAGAACTCTTGTAGAACAACACAACAGGATGTTAAGGATATTTTCCCTCTCCAGGATCCAAACGGGAATACAAATGACCCAGGGAAATTGGTAAAAATGCTGCTCAGAATGCTTTATCCAAACACCTGAAGGCACCACCCCACAACAAAGTTTCACTGACATTATTCAGAGTATTGATGAGACATTTATTAAATTCATAGACAGACTAGAAGACACTATTGATAAGCAGGTTGATTTCTCAAGGGCTAGAGAAGGGCTGTTCAGTAAACTAGCAGTGTCCAACGCAAATGAGAGATGCAAGAAAACGACAAGAGACCACTCCCTCCAGACCCTGAACCCACCATTCAATAAATGGTGGAAGCCTGTACCCATCTCACCACTACAGAACATATAATTGCCCTGGCAGTCAGCAAAGAAGTATCTGAAGCCTTTGTGGCACAAAATAAACAAGATATCAGATGGCTATAAGGCCATGAACTAGGCCATCTCAAGGTGGAATGTGATAAAGACTTTTTACAGAAACACCCCTCCACTGGTTGTCCCTCCGCTGTATGCCTAGACTGTAAAGAACATTTTAAACACTGTCCTCAGTTTCAATACCACCAGCAGGTTCAGCATCATCCGTCCTACCAGAAACACCAGGGAAACTTCCAGCAGAGCACAGGGCGGCCCTGAGCAACAACACCAAGTGCCAAGCCCTCTTTCCCCACCATCTTGGAAAGTCAGGGCACCAAGAGACTGTTTGTGACAATGAGAAAGAGTTCTGACTCTCCAAGATCTACCAAGACATTCAGGCAGGGACATGATGCACACTGGTAATCCAGTTTGATGATGAGGTGATCTATCAAATTCCAACTGCTAAATTTGGACCTTCTGATGGACCAAGGGACATCTTAATCATAGGGGACTCTATTAATGGATTGGGCAATTTGCAAGTACTTCTGGAACTCCAGACTGTGGGATCAAGGGATGAAATTACTGTGACTGTCTCATGTGTAGACCCACCTTGGTGTTTTTTCTCAGGTCACACCCATTGCCTAAGCTTTCCTGATTCCCACCTGGATTGACATTTTGCCAGAAAACCCTGTGGTTTTTTGGGCAGAGATTGTGGGCCAAGATAGACCTTTTATAGAGTGTGGCTTGTTTAACAAAGGGGACAAAGTTTATCTTCCAGGAATAGTAGATACTGGAACAGACTTGACCATCATTGCCCTGTGGACCATCATGGCGCTCCACAGTGGCCACAGGGCTGGGAACTAGTATCAGCCAATGGAGTAATCTCTGGGATTGGAGGATCTGACATATCTATGCAGACCAAATGGACAATTCTTATTGAAGGACCTGAGGGTCAGGTAGCCACAGTAAGACTTTTCATGGTATCATTGTCTGACACTGGCACAATGCCAGTGCCCCCATGAAAATGCAACCTCTCAATTGAATGCTGTGAAATGAGATCGAGAACAGAGCAAAGCAGGCCCAAGCTTAATAACAAGAAAAAAACTTTATTAAGCTGCTACTACTACTATACTACTATAAAAGGAAAAAGAAAGAAAAAACACACACACAAAATTCAAAGTGAAAACCTTTCAAAACATTCCTCCTCCCACCACCCAACTCCAAAAAACTACAACAAGACACAACCCGGACTCCAGTCAGGTTCCCACCCTCCAGATAATCAATACTCAGTCCATCAAGGGAGAGAGGAGCCTCTCCCATGCCACAGACTCCCCAAGAAACACAGCTGCCACATCCTGTGCTTTCATGTCACACATGGCACCACCCAGAGAAAAAAGTTTGCCATGGTGACCCTCTCCTTTCCATGCTCAGTGCTCTCACCACCAATGCATGGATGGACAGGCTGCTTTTAGGATTTTTCCTTTCAAGGATGCCCTGCCAAGAGGGGAAAAAACAACAGTTCAGTTTTTCATTTTTGGGACCGCAGTCCCCCCCCCATTTCCCCCTGAGGCCAAGGGTCCAAGAACAGAGATCTTCTTCTCTTCTTCTTCTCTGAAGACAGGAGACACCACCACAAACCTCCCTAACTTTTCTCTGTTTGCTCCACTTCTGTCTTTTCCCAGCTGAAGCATGGTCTCTTTGGCTCACCGGCATCCTCCTAAAATACAGTCTCTCTTGGAGGAGAAGATCAGTTCAGTCTGTGGGTACCAAGAAAATGTCCAGCCAAAAATCACTCCATCATCTCCCCCCAACCTTCTTTCCCTCACAATCTCAGGTCCCAGGCTGTCTCTCTTTCCTTCAACTCAAGGAGGAGTAATATTTCACAAAGCCTTCATTTCTCAAGGAAGGGTTAAAAGTCCCGACTCCCAAGGATGGCTCGCTGCCCAGCTTCTCTGACTCCCACGGGCAGCTGGGCACCTTGCGGCCTCCCCGCTCTTCTCCTTCCCCGCGGTGAACTGCTGACAAAACCGCCGCTGCCTCTTTCTCTCTCTCTCTCTCAAGAGACTCTGGGGGGGGGGACGCAGACATCCCAGATTTCTCCACCCTTCCATATGCAGGTGGCCAGCCCGGTTCAGTCCCCTCCACCCTTTGGCCTACCTCAAGCTGGGCCGCATGGGTCCCCTCCCCCACCCAGCCACAGGGCGGGCAGGGGAGAGTCCTGCACTGACCACTGACTGGAAACAAAGAGAGCGAATTCTCCTGGGAATTCCGCTTTTAACCCCTCTGTGTTCTCAGAGGCGTGTCCACCTTCAATTGGTCACCCCAAGTGTCAGTATCCAAACCTGACCCCTGACTGGATTGACCTCTTCCTTCCAAGAAAATTCTTTTTCCATGTCAAACCATGACAATATGACCAAGTAGAGCCGCCAAAAAAGGATGTGTCTGTTCAGACCCATTGCTGCCCAGAGTGTTTGAGCTTATCAGTGGTATCAGGGGGTGTTGTGGAGAAGGCCTGCCTACGGTGTGAACAAGTGAACGACCTCCTCTTGCTGGTGGCTGAGCTTAGGGAGGAAATTGAAAGATTAAGGAGTATCAGGGATAGTGAAAGGGAAATAGTCTGGTGGAGTTCAGCCCTTACATCTTTAAGGGAGGCCCACCAGGATTCAGAGTCTCACGCTCAGGCAATAGAGGGGCACCTGGTTGATGAAGGGGAGTGGAAATGGGTCCCTTCTTGGGGCAGTAGTGACAAAAATCCCTCCTGCCCCTCATCCCCTAGCCAGGTGCCACTTCAGAATAGGTATGAGGCCCTGGATCTAGAGAGCCAGACAGATAATTTAGAAGACAATTTTCTGCCCAGTGAGCCTCTCAATTATGACTCATCTAAAAAATGGATTACCACCTCTAACATAAAAAAAAAAAAAGAAGGGTAATTGTAGGGGGTGATTCCCTTCTGAGGGGGACTGAGGGCACCGTATGTCGACCAGACCCATCCCACAGAGAGGACTGATGCCTCCCTGGGGCCCAGGTGCAAAACATCACTGAAGGACTTCCTAGGTTGATTCAGTCCTCTGATTATTACCCACTGCTGATACTCCAGGCTGGCAGTGAGGAAATTGATAAGAGGAGTGTCAAGGCAATTAAAAGGGAGTTTAGGGCACTGGTTCAAGTGTTTGATAGGACAGGTGTACAGGTAGTGTTTTGTTCAGTCCCTTTGGTGGCAGAGAAAAATAATGAAAGGAATAGGAGAACTCACATAATTAACAAATGGCTCAAGGGTTGGTGTCATCGGCAAAATTTTGGATTCTTTGATCATGGAGCAACCTTTATGGCACCTGCTCTACTGGAATCAGATGGGATGCATCTCTCTGTTAAGGGTAGGAGGTTTTTAGCTCATGAACTGGCAGACCTTATTGAGAGGGCTTTAAACTAGGTCTGAAGGGGGAAGGGGATGCCGCTGGGCTGTCTGGAAGCAAGCCCAAGGATGGTAAGACTGTGTTAGGGGAGAAATCAGTAGCCCGGCCGATGTGCATGTACAGCAATGCACACAGCATGGGTAACAAACAGGATGATCTGGAGGCCATGGTGCAGCAGCAGAGCTATGATGTAGTCACCATCACAGAAATGTGGTGGGATGACTCACATAGTTAAAGCACTGCACTGGATGGTCAAGCTCTTCAGAAGAGACAGGAAAGGGAGAAGAGGTGGAGGGGCGGCCCTTTGTATTAGGGAGGTTTTGGATGTCATAGGTATTGAAACTAATGATGATGAAGTTGAGTCCCTATGGGTAAAAATTAAGGGGAGGGCCAACAAGGCTGACATCCTACTGGGAGTCTGTTATAATCCACCCAACCAGGATGAAGAGGTGGACAATTTATTCTATAAGCAACTAAACAATGTTTCAGGATCATCAGCCCTTGTTCTTGTAGGTGACTTCAACCTACCAGACATCTGCTGGGAACTTAATACAGCAGAAAAACGGCAATCTAGAAAGTTTTTAGAGTGTGTGGAGGATAATTTTTTGTCACAACTGGTGGGCAAGCCCACCAGGGGAGGAACTATGTTAGACTTGTTGTTTACAAATAGAGATGGACTGGTGGGTGATGTGGAGGTTGGAGGCCGCTTGGGGCACAGTGATCATGAAATTATAGAATTCTCGATAATTGGTGAAATAAGGAGGAGTATCAATAAGATCTCTACACTGGACTTCCGGAGGGCAGACTTTGGCCTGTTTAGGAGACTTATTCAGAGAGTTCCTTGGGAAAGAGCCCTTGAAAACAAAGGAGTCCAGGAGAGATGGGTGTGCTTCAAAGCAGAGATCTTGAGGGCACAAGAACAGACTGTTCCTGTGTGCCGAAAGATGAGTCGAAGAGGCAAACGTCCAGTCTGGATGAGAAATGAGGTTTTGAAGGAACTTAGAAATAAAAAAAAATGTATTATCTCTTTAAGGAGGGACTGATTTCTCAGGAAGTATTTAAGGGATCTGCTAGGGCATGTAGGAAAAAAATTAGGGAGGCCAAAGCTCAGTTAGAACTTAACTTGGCAACTTCTGTTAAAAATAATAAAAAAAGTTTTTACAAATATATTAATGGTAAAAGGAAGGTTATAACCAACCTAGATTCCTTATTGGATGAGGCAGGCAACCTAGTAACTAAAGATGAGGAAAAGGCGGAAATGCTTAATGCCTTCTTTGCCTCAGTCTTTAGTGGTAAGGCAGCCTGTCTTCAAGACAACTGTCCTCAGGGGTTGATAGGTGGTGCCAGGGAGCAGAATGGTCCTCTTGTTATCCAAGAGGAGGCAGTTAGAGAACTACTGGGACACTTGGATATTTATAAATCAATGGGACTAGATGGGACACACCCTAGGGTGATGAGGGAGCTGGCAGGTGTGCTTGTGAAGCCGCTTTCCATCATTTATCAGGAGACGTGGCTCACTGGTGAGGTCCCAGACGACTGGAAACTGGCCAATGTGACACCCATTTACAAAAAAGGTAGGAAGGAGGATCCTGGTAATTACAGCCGGTTAGCCTGACCTCAGTATCAGGTAAGATAATGGAACAGTTCATACTTAATGCTATCACACAGCACTTACAAGATGGCCAGGGTATCAGACCCAGTCAGCATGGGTTTACAAAGGGTAGATCATGTCTGATCAACCTGGTCTCCTTCTATGACCAGGTGACTCGTCTGGTATTTGCAGGAAAGGCTGTGGATGTTGTCTATTTAGATTTCAGCAAGGCCTTTGATACTGTTTCCCACAGCACACTCCTGGAAAAGCTGCAGCCCACGGCTGGGCCAGGAGCGCTCTGTGCTGGGTTAGGAGCTGGCTGGATGGCTGGGCCGGAGCGTGGTGGTGAGCAGTGCTGCATCCAGCTGGGGACAGGCACCAGTGGTGTCCCTCAGGGATCTGTGCTGGGACCAGTTCTATTTAATATTTTTACAGATGACATGGATGAAGGCATTGAATCCTTCATTAGTAAATTTGCAGACGATACTAAGCTGGGAGCTTGTGTTGATCTGTTGGAAGGAAGGAGGGCTCTGCAGAGAGATTTGGATCGATTGGACGGATGGGCAGAGTCCAACAGCATGAAGTTGACTAAGTCTAAGTGCCGAGTTCTGCATTTTAGACACAAAAATCCCCTACAGCATTACAGGTTGGGGACAGTGTGGCTGGACAGTGTCCAGGCAGAAAGGGACCTGGGGGTGCTGGTCGACAGCCGGTTGGATATGAGCCAGCAATGTGCCTCGGTGGCCAAGAAGGCCAATGGCTCCTGGCCTGCATTAGGAATTGTGTGACCAGCAGGAGTAGGGAGGTCATTCTTCCCCTGTACTCGGTGCTGGTGAGACCGCACCTCGAGTGCTGTGCCCAGTTCTGGGCCCTCAGTTCAGGAAGGACATTGAGATGCTTGAGCACGTCCAGAGGAGGGCAACGAGGCTGGTGAGGGGCTTGGAACACAAGTCCTGTGAGGAATGTTTGAGGGAGTTGGGGTTGTTTAGCCTGGAGAAGAGGAGGCTTAGAGGTGACCATATTGCTCTCTACAGCTCCTGAAGGGAGGCTGCAGACAGGTGGGGTCGATCTCTTCCACTGGGCAGCAACTGGCAGAACAAGAGGACACAGCCTCAAGCTACGTCAGGGAAGGTTTAGGTTGGATATTAGGAAAAAAATTTTTCACTGAAAGAATAATAAAATACTGGCATTGTCTTCCTAGGGAGGTGGTGGAATAACCATCTCTGGATATGTTTTAAAAAAAAGACTGGACTTGGCACTTGGTGCTATAGTCTAATTGTGGTGTTAGGGCATAGGTTGGACTTGATGATCTTAGAGGTCTCTTCCAACCTCATTATTCTGTGATTCTGTAATTCTGTACCTGGCCCGGGCTGCATACCTCCGTTTAAAAATGCCCCACCTTGATAGTTTAACACAGTCTGCACTGCAGGGTATTTTGTTTAATCAAAATGGGGGCCCTGCAGCTGGGAGTGGTGCAACACTGACACTGACCAGCTGCAGCACCCCAAGTTCTTCTGACATTGAGAGTGATGGTAAAGCACAGAAATCTTCTGACACTGTAGCCTCTATAACTGTAACAGGGTTTGGTTTCTCCTGAGGGGAAATCTGAGTGAATCCTGTCACACTGATCGTTGTATTCCCGTGTCCCACAGCACAGGTTTCTGTAACTGTCCCTTCATTGACTCCGTTACGAGGCTGAGCCCATTGACAGAGTTCTGGCCACCCCACAGGGTGAGCCCTCCAAGGGAACCCCATTCCTCCCAACTTCAGCTGAGAACATACCCAGCAATTAGTGACACTGTGTGCTTTGGCTTCCGTGGTCTTTAAATTTTAAAAACATTTTTGATGACTGATCCCTTGGTGAAACTCTGGAGGTGTTCTGGCAAACAAAGATTCTGGCTGACTATCAAGGTACAACTTACAGACATCAGTAGTACTTTAGTGACACTGTTCTTCATTATTTTTGCTCAATCTCATTCAAGTTAAGAACAATAATTCTGTTGTCCATGGAGCTGGCAACTTTTTAATTCCAGAATAATGCCCCCAAGGTCCTTTAGTGTTCAGCTTTACCATGTTGTCTGTGGGTAACAAGGCTTGGTGGGGCCCTTTCCTCTTTGGCTGGAAGAGGGCCAGGACCTCTATTTAAAGAAAAAAAAAAAGGAAAAAGAAAAAAAACCAATTAGCTGAATTGTAAAAGATACAAATAAAATCCAAGTGTTAGTGAAACAACTTCTCTAACTTTGCATTAAGAGGTAAATGATCTTTTTAAAAAGAAAACTCAGTTATTTACATTGTAAATGTGCTGATGGCATGGATCCATCTTACTGACCTCAGCAGCCTTTTTTAAAGGTTTTGGGGTTTGTTTCCAACATTGTTATTTTAAATTGTGGTCAAAGCAATAGGAAATTGATTGGGGCCCTTCCAGCTCCAGGCAGGACTGGGAATCTCAACTCTGTCAAACCCCAAATCCTTTAGAAGATGACCTTCCTTCTCACTCTGGGAATGAGCTGCACATTCCCTCTGAAATTGTCAGGGGTTTCTCACGGATGAAAAATCCCACTTACGGCTTTTTGCTCTGGTTTGGAAGTGGGAAGGGCAATTCTCCATCCATCAGCTCCAGACTGCACTGCCTCAGGAACACGGCTCACTTGCCAGGTTTGGCCCACTCGTGGCACTTCTAGAGGAGGAAGAAAGTGCAACTGCACAATTCCAGCCAAAAAGAAATGAAGAATGAATAGTGGAGATCCAGGCGTTCCTGCAGAGATTCAGGGGTTCAGCTGGGGCTGTGGCGAGTTTGGGTCCTTGCCAATTGGATGTGTGTTCCCAGCTGCAATCTCCTGGCCTGCAGGGGAGTCTCACTCACCTGCCAAAGCAGAAAGCTCAGGCACTGTGCTCCAACGGGCTCGTCTGATGCAAAGCTGTCAGAGCAATGTGAGGGCAGAGCCAGCCCAGCTGTGCCCAGGGCAGAGCCCAGCAGAGCCCTGGCAGAGCCCAGAGCAGCCTCAGCACACGCAGAGCCCGGCTGCAAGGAGAGAAACCAGAAACTGCCCGTCAGCTGAAGGCTCCTGTCCCCTTGTCCCAGCTGCCCACAGAGCCCAGGCCATGCTGGCTGTGCCCAGAGCTGTGCCCAGAGCTGCCCATCACTGCTGCCTTTGGGAGCAGAGCAGGAGGGCAGGACATTCCCAGCCTGCAGCCAGCCACGGCACATCCAGCCCCTCAGCAGCTGCCCAGAGCAGGAGCCTCCTTGTGCTTGTTGCCGTCTCCCAAAAACTCTGATCCCACCATGCCAAGCAGACGGGGACTCACCTCACGCCATCCTCTGCTGGGAGAAAAGCTGGTCCCAAACGATGTCCTCAGCCTTCTCCAAGGGCACGGCCCATCCACGCTGCAGCTGCTCCCAAGCACTTCCCAATCCCGACTGGACCTGACATAGAACGCTTCCTCTAGAAAAACAAACAACAAACTGTTGAAAAGAGATTAGAGACGAGGGGAAACAAGAAAAAATCTCTTATTTCTGTCAGGGGTCTGAGGAAGGTGTTGGGAAGGATGGATAAATATAATTGCCTGGTGTTGTCTTTATGAAAGACAACCAGGAGCCTGGTTCAGGTAGCAGCACGGCGGCCTGGTCTCGTCCAAGCCGCTCGGGCTAATCAACACACGCAGATGCCAATATGGCAGACGGTTGAAAAGCGTTTATTATCCTATTTCGCGGGTTTATATAGGTTTAGGAGTCTTTGCTACGTCAGAGGGGGGTTTGGGGTCTCGGAGGATAGTGGGTAGTGGAATTTTACCACGACAGGTGTGGCTACATTCTTTTCTGACTCCTGGGGTAGCAGATAAGCAGGGGAGAGAGAAGGGGGGAAGGGGCCTATCTTTCCGTGACATTCCGGTAATCTTCCGCTTCGCCTGTCCCTATCTTACCACAGCCTGGCAAAAGATTTACAATAGTACAGCCAGGATGAAAACAATCCCCCCTACTGGCTGGACAATACCCTTACCTACAGATGGGTCCAAAAGCCAAAGGGACTGTTCCATCTCACCCCCCAGAATGTATGGTTCACCCCACACCTGTAACCCTCCCCTGAAACATCAAGTGTCTGTCACCCCATTGGCCCAAGTCTTGTTCCAGCCCACCTTGAAGCCCCCTGATAAGGGGTCTCCGGGGGGCCAGACACCCTCTTGGAACTTCCCCTCCCCTCTTGGAACTTCCTCCCTCCTCCTGGATCCCCCCTCCTGGAGTCCCTGCTCCCCGCTTTGTCTCACCCCTCACCCATCATTTCAGGCCTGGCCACGTGCTGTGTCTGGCAGCTCGAGGCAGGGCCTCTCTCCATCCCAAATAAACCTTATCCTCCAAGAGCAATCAGCAGAGATCTCTCGTCTGTATCCACCCAAACCGTCCGTGGAACCCTCTAACGTCATTACATCGCCCACCTTTCCTATTGTGCCCTGAATCCCCAGCTCCCACCCCTGATCCTGGTTTGGGGGATCCCACTCCCCTCCCACTCCTTTTGGGGCTCCCACCCTGCTTTCCTCCTTCTTACCCACATTTCCTATCACCTTCCCCTTCCTGTGGTCCCTGCTCACCAAGTTCCCTTGGCTCCCATCTGGGACGCTCCCAGCAGAACCAGAATGCCCCCAGCTGCCCCCACAGGCCCCATCCACAGCTCTGGGCTAGTGCTGACAGCCCAAAAGCAGCCGTGCTGTGCCATGGGAGGCTCCAAAATCATCCAATGCTGCTTGATGCTATCAGAAGAAATGCCTGGACAGAGCAGGTGAGACTTTGTGGAGTTTAAAGTCAACAAATCTCCTCTTCCCAATGAATTCCTGATGTTAGTCTCTGTCCTGATGGATGCTCCTGTTCCTGCCCCTGCATTCATTCAGGTACCCATGGGGATCCAGGAGGGCACAGAGAGCACCAGCCAGCTGTATTCCCAACATGGATCACTGGGAATGTGGGTCACCAGGGCTCTGCCCAAAGGGGATCTTCTGATGGGGGATGGAGTTGGAGCAGCAGACAAAGCTCTTCCTGCAGTCAGGGCCCTCACAGGGCTTCCCTTACCGGTGGCTCTGTTGGTGTTTGGTCAAGTGAGAGCTCCTGGAGAAGCTCCTCCCACACTCGGGACACTTGAAGGGACTCTCCCGGCTGTGGATGCGCCGGTGGGTGAGGAGGCTGAAGTTGCGGGTGAAGCCCTTCCCGCAGTCGGGGCAGCGGAAGGGCCTCTCCCCTGTGTGTGTGCGCTGGTGCTTGAGGAGATCCGAAGTGCTCCGAGCCTTTTTCCCACACTCAGAACACTCGTAGGGCCGTTCCCCGGTGTGGATCTTCTGGTGGGAGGTCAGACTGCACCGAACGCTGAAGCTCTTCCCACATTCAAAGCATGTGTAGGGCCGTTCCCCGGTGTGCACGCGCAGGTGGGTGAGGAGGGTGGAGCTGTCTCTGAAGCTCTTCCCACATTCCCCACAGTTGTAGGGGTGTTTGTGTTCCCCCGTGTGGATCTTCTGGTGCGAGAGCAGGTGGGAATTCTTGCTGAAGCTCTTCTCACATTCCAAACACTTATAGGGCCGTATGCCCATGTGCACCCGCTGGTGGTGGAGGAGGTGGGAGCCGTGCCGGTACCTCTTCCCACATTCCCCACACTCATAGGGCCGCTCGCCTGTGTGCACACGAAGGTGGGCTAGGAGGTAGGATCTCCACCTGAAGCTCTTCTCACATTCTGAGCACTTGTGGAGCTTCTCCCCATCATGAAGCTGCTCATGGATCCCCAGCTCTGAGCTCTGGCTGCCTCCCTGGCCCAGGGTGGGTCTTTCCTCCTCAGATCTGCGTTTGCAGCCCCTCCTCCTGCATTTTTTGCTAGTTTCCCCCTAGAAGAAATACTTGAGGCAGCGCCACAGCTCCTCCTCCTCCTGCTCCTCTCCTCTGGCACTGGCACTGGTGTCGGGCTGGGCTCAGGGCTACCTCAGCCATTCCATACCGTAGGCCTCAGTCTGGCAGCTGCCCAGTCTCTGGGGACACCCAGCAGTGTCACCTTGGTCCTCTGTGCCCCCTGCTCAGCATCACACCCTGGTCCATGTGGTCCTCTCCCCTGCTCCATCTGCCAGCCCAGCCTGGCTCCCGGCTGCAGGGCAACGCTACTGCCAACTCCACCCTGATAGGGAGGGATTGGAAAAATCTTTCTCTTTCCCTGTTGTGAAAAATGCATATTTATGATTGGCTTTTCGCAAATGTTACAATGAATATTATATGTGTAATGTTAGAAAGTTATGCTGTATTAATTCTCTTACATAGTGTGTTAAACGTAGTTTTAGGTTACAACATAATGTTAAAATAGAGACTGTGTATGTGGGGGGAGTTTTCTTTTTAGGAATGAGTTACTCGCTTCGAAGAACACCTAAATCTTCCAAAGGAGAGGAATTTATGGCTTCTTATCAGAAGAAGCTAATTTCTTCAGGCCTTGCTCAGGCTCGAAGACACCAGGGGATTAAAGGAAACAGTTGACATACAACAGACAGAGTTTCTTGTTTAGAATAGAATGTATGCATAACCATGAAGGATGTATGAATATGCAATAAGTGTATTGGTTTAAGGGTGATTTATTTGTTCACAAGTCATGCTTTTCATGACTTAGGGTCCGAGAGCATCCTGACGTCCGTAATTCTTTGCTTTTTATTGTCTTGTAATTGTCCTAACTCTAAACTTTATTACTCTAATTGTATTATTAATTTTATAACCATTTTACAATTATTAAACTTTTAAAATTTTGAAAACCAAGTGATTGGCATTTTTCACACCTGTGGCATGAAAATAAGTCTCCTTCCCTCCTTTCGTTCTTCCTTCCTTATTTCTCTCTATTTTTCCTCCTTTTTCTTGTTCCTTCCTCTCCTTGTGTTTCCTCCTCCAGACAAGGAGCTGAGGATGGAGAACAGGGAGAACAAATCCCCACGGCAGATCCTTGTGGAAGAGGTTGTTTGGAGAGGTTTGACAGTGAGGGAATTCAGCGGGGATACAAAGCCCCAGAGATCCCACATGAGGAGGGGCTCCAAACCCAGCCCAGGGAACCCCGAGAAGGAAAGACCCACCCTTGGCCAGGAAAGCGGCCGGAGACCCAGATGCAGCTCGGAGCTGGTGGCTCCTGAGCAGCTTCATGGCAAGGAGAAGCCCTACAAGTGCTTGGAATATAGGAAGAGCTTCAGACAGTGCTCCAGTCTCCTCACACACCTTTGGGTCCATGTGGACGGGATCCCCCACTGAGCAGGGCCAGATTTGAGCCGGAATATTGGGATTCCCAGAGCCAGGAAGGGAGTGCACCCAGCATATCCCCCACCGACCTGGAGATGCTGCAAGTCCCGTGCAGTCAGAACAAGGGCGAGCTGGGGGAGCCAGGGGCTGGGGGGATCCCGGGGAATAGGGATATCTGTGGGACTGGGATGGGACTTGTCCTCCTGCTCCTCACCATCCTGGGCTTCCCAGAGCCCAGTCACTCCCAGTATGGTCCCAGTTGCTCTCAGCATGGTTTCAATTGCTCCCTTTTGGTCCCAGTGTGGTACCAGTGGCTTCTGGTATAGTCCCAGCCACTCCCTGTATGATCCCAATCTCTTCCACCAGGATCTCAGTCACGACCAGTTCTGCTCAGTGTAGACCCAGTCACACCCACTTGCTCCCAGTTGCCTCCATCGTGGTTCCAGTTGTCCCCAGCCTAGTGCTGGTTGCTCCCAGTGTGGTCCCTGTCACCCCCAATAGGGTTCCAGACACTTCCAGTATATCCCAGTTACCCTCAGCATGCTTGGAGTCATTCCCAGTCACTCCCAGTATGATCTCCATATGATGCCAGGAGAGCCCAGTCACTTCCAGTAGGAGCCCAAAGCTCATGGAAGACCTGGAGGACCCCCGCAGAGGAGGGTCCCTACAAGTTCTCTGGCTGCACGAAGAGCCCCAAGGAATGGAGGTCCTACCAAGCCACCACCCGGACTAGGAGGTGGTGACAGCTCTGCAGCCTGGGGCCTGGGACCGCCAGGAGGGTCTCCAGACCTCCACCCCAGCAAGTGGCTCACACATCCCCTCGTCCTGTCCCCAGAATGCCACTCTTGGCATTCTGGGGACAGAATCCGCCATCCCCCTCTGCAGTCCCACCACCAGCATCTCCAGGTCTCTGGGAAGAGCCCAAAGGGATGGAAGTGCCCAAAATGCTGCTGAAGTGCTGGGACTGCTCCCACCTGTGGATGCACCTGTCCACAAACCTCTCCCGGTAAGAGCCATAGGAGGCTGGGAAGGGGTTTAGGGGATCCTGAGGGGATTGGAAGGGGGTTTCGGTGGCTCTTAGGGGCATGTGTGGTGCTCGGAGGGGGTTTAGGTGGCTTTGGAGGCATCTCTGAGGGAATTTTGGGGGTTCTGGAAGGGCTGTGCAGCTTGGAGAGAATTTGGATGGGTCATTGGAGAGGTAGGAAAGAGTTTTGATGGATCTTGGGGCCATTTATATTGCACAGAGTGGTTGGGGGGGGCAGCAGGGATCTGTGGGGTGGTTTGAGGAGGCTGGAGCAGCTGTGGGGCTGGGCAGGAGTTTTAGGGCAGTTGTGACCCCCCAGACCCCCAGAGCTGCCACCAGGCCCTGCCCACAAGGTGCTGCTGGGGGACAGGGGCTCCCTGTAGGGTTTTGTCTTCCTGGCACAGTGGCAGTGAGAGGGGATCCCCCAGGGCTGTGTGTGACCCTCCCCATGCCAATGTCACCCCCTTTTCCCTCCCCACAGGGCTCCTCACCCAGTTCCTGCTCCCCCAGAGGGAATTTGGGGAGGGGGCAGAGGAGGTTTGCAGCCCCCGCTGGGGGATGACCCCACCCCAGCCCCTTTGTTCAGCACCAAGCTGGGCTTGGGGCCGCAGGAGGAAGAGGCTGGTGGGAAGCAGATCCTGCAGCTGGGACCGTGCTTGGGCTCAGGGCAAGGTCCTGCCCTGCACACCTGGCTCGGGTGTGACCCTGCCCCGGCAAGGGAGCGGCACATTCCCAAACCCACGGACCCTATCCCCAAAATCCCACTCTTGGGATCCCTCACCTGTCTCTGCAGTCCCGCTCCAACACCTCCAGGCCTCTGGGAAGAGCCCTGGTGCCAACAGAACTTAGATCAAAATTACAAGGTGCTGATATACCTTGAGTGATATCAATATAACCTGATATATCTATATAAACTGATATCAACTGAACCTAAATCATGAATTTTTATATTTCTATATAACCTAATACCCAAATAACCCGAATCATACCTTTTTATACCTATATAATCTGAATCATACTTTGATATCTACATAACCTTAATCAGAACTTTTATACCTCTATAACCTGATATAAATAACTTTCTACAATGTAATGACTAGTATATGGTTAACTAGTTGGTTAATGCTGAATAGACCAGAAAAAGAAGAAAAAAACTCGCCAGGTGGATAGTTTTAGAGGGCATAGTACTAATGAGAAATTGGCAAGTGCAATGGCAATTAGCCACAAAACAAAGAATTTAGGCTGGTTAGGACCAGACACACCAGGGAACACCATAATACACATGCTCTGAAGACCAAGTTGAAAAGTTCAGATGCCAAGAAGACCTTGGAAGCCTTCCCTAAAATGCCTCCCCTGCAAAACCAGGACAATCACAGACTCCTGTCAGACCCTGAATTAGGGAGGCACAAGTGCAGTGGAGAAGAACTACCTAATGACCATAAGCTCATACAATGTAAATGAGTTCCAGCGCATTTGTGATGGTGTTTGTTACAAATGAATCAGCCAATTTAATAATTAAAGGAATGTATTAAAACAAATCAAAGTAAAATTGGAAAAGCCACAAGCAAATCAGCACCGAGCCAGGCGATCGGTGCTGGGTGAACTGGGTTCGGACTATGCAGCTCCGTACCCCTGGCAGTTCACAAGGTACTGATTGCACAGGGTCTTTTTTTCACTCTCTTCAGACTTAGTGGGATTCCAGGGGGGTCTTCCTGTTTCCTCTCGTTGATCTTGCCTCTTTTCACATATTATGGTCTTTTCTTGTGGTGCTTCTAAACAGAGGTTTTCCCGGAATACTCTGATTGTAATCCCTTCGAATCTCTTGTTTTGGCAACTAATATTCATCTTATCGTTCAATATATATTTTCCAGACGAAATAATCCTTCAGAATAACCATGTTTTGAGACAGGAATTCATCCTGTGTATATTGCTCTTTCCCGTCACTTGGTTCCATTTAAAAAGATACTGTATTTTTTAGTCCTGAGCACGAATCTATTCTAAATCACATATTTATATTGTCGCTGGAACATTGTAATCATATATTACAATGTTCCAGCGACACAGTGACACTGAGCAACACTTACTGTATCAATAAAGCACAGCACGGGACAAAGGTGGTGAGTTAGGTGCAGAAATCCCCTCACCACCAGTGCTGCAATAAACAAATACCTGCTCCATAGACAGCGGTCTGTGGGGATTTATTTCCAGCCTGTCTTTCGGGCATCAGCTCAAAGGGATGGAATTTCCCACCCAGGGTCCCCACCGAGCCCCAGTTTGGATCTGCAGCCCCCAGTTTTCCCAGTTTCCCTCTCCTTTTCCTTGTGTGGGGTTCCCCCCGCCCGCAGCGGGTGGGAGCAGCCGAGAGCCCCGCGCTGCCCATCCCGACCTGTCCCGGCTCCATCCCCGCTCCTGCCGCGGGCTGCCGGGGCTGCGGGAACGGGGCAGGAGGAAGGGGATGGCGGAGCGGTGATGGAGAAGCAGCGGGACAGGGGCTGGAGGGATTAGAGGAGGAGGAGGGAGGGTGGAGGAGGAGCAGGAAGCGGAGGAGGACGGGAGGAAGAGCTGGGATAGAGGAGGAGGAGGAGGAAGTGGGAGCAGGGGGGCCGCATGGTCCAGCCCTCGCTGTGTCCGCAGCCCTCCCGCCCCCGGGGGCATTGTCCCCCCACCATGTCGCAGGTGACCGCGGAGGGGGAGCGCGCCCAGGTATCCCGGGGGCTCCGTGGGAGGGTATTTTTAGGGGAGAGGGGGATTTCTGGAGCTCGAAGGACTCCAAAGCTAAGGGTCAAACGGCCTTTGGGGAGATTTTGGGGGATGCCCCTGGAGGTTGCTTTTCTGTGGTAGAGGGCGGCAGAGGGGAGAACACTGGGACACCGAAGTGTGCAGCCCAGAGAGAGGAGATGCCCAGGACTGAGCCCGGAGACGGGAACACCCTGCGAGGGGGAGCCCTGGAGCTCCCCACAGCCTGGAGCAGAGTCGGGGAAAGGGGAGCGCTGGGACCCCAAGAGCCCCGGCGTCGCTAGGTGGGAGCCCAGAGAGGGGGAGCCAGGGAACCCCCAGGAGCTGCAGGGAACCCCCAGCAGCACAGAGAAGGGGGAACCCCACAAGCCCAAGGTCAGAAGAGCAGAGAGGGGGGACCCCAGGGATTCCTGGGACCCGTGACAGCCTGGAGAGGATGAGGACCCCAGAGAGGACAATCCTGAATACATGCAGGACCCCCAGAAGTCCAGAGTGGAGAGACCAGAGAGGGGGAACTCCTGAGAAGTTTTTTTTTTGAATGATCATGAACCATTCAAGTCTTGAGGGTCTCAGTCTTGGTATTTCTGAGGGGTTTTTTTCAGCTAAATCTTGCTGATCTGAAGGTTTTTATGGATACAAAATGTCCGGTTACTTCTAGAGTCACTTGGGCAGAGAGAATCCCCAACCAACACTCTCACAGCTTGCTTTCCCCCAAACCTTGGCTGGATGGATGAGCAGGAGGCCGTGAGGAAGAGGAAAATGCGCCAAGAGCCCCAGGCAGGTGTGGAAGAAGTCACTGCCCCTTTCCCCCTCTCTCCTGCTCCATCTCTCACCCCTGCATGGCCCCTGGCTGCAGGACAACCCCGCTGCGAATGCTGTCCTGCTGGGGATGCATTGGAGAGATCTCCTTGGTGTTCCCTGAGGCAAATCCCACCCTCTCCTTGTCCTTTCTCCCCCAGAAAAGGAGCTGAGGCTGGAGACCAGGGAGGACAAGTCCCCACAGCAGAACCTCGTGGAAGAGGCCGTTTTGAGCAGCTCCATGGCACAGGAATCCAGTGGGGAGGAAAAGCCCAGGAGGAGGGGCTGCAAACGCAGATCTGAGGAGGAAAGACCCACCCTGGGCCAGGGAGGCAGCCAGAGCTCAGAGCTGGGGATCCATGAGCAGCTTCATGATGGGGAGAAGCTCCACAAGTGCTCAGAATGTGAGAAGAGCTTCAGGTGGAGATCCTACCTCCTGGCCCACCTTCGTGTGCACACAGGCGAGCGGCCCTATGAGTGTGGGGAATGTGGGAAGAGGTACCGGCACGGCTCCCACCTCCTCCACCACCAGCGGGTGCACATGGGCATACGGCCCTATAAGTGTTTGGAATGTGAGAAGAGCTTCAGCAAGAATTCCCACCTGCTCTCGCACCAGAAGATCCACACGGGGGAACACAAACACCCCTACAACTGTGGGGAATGTGGGAAGAGCTTCAGAGACAGCTCCACCCTCCTCACCCACCTGCGCGTGCACACCGGGGAACGGCCCTACACGTGCTTTGAATGTGGGAAGAGCTTCAGTGTTCGGTGCAGTCTGACCTCCCACCAGAAGATCCACACTGGGGAATGGCCCTACGAGTGTTCTGAGTGTGGGAAAAAGGCTCGGAGCACTTCGGATCTCCTCAAGCACCAGCGCACACACACAGGGGAGAGGCCCTTCCGCTGCCCCGACTGCGGGAAGGGCTTCACCCGCAACTTCAGCCTCCTCACCCACCGGCACATCCACAGCCGGGAGAGTCCCTTCAAGTGTCCCGAGTGTGGGAGGAGCTTCTCCAGGAGCTCTCACTTGACCAAACACCAACAGAGCCACCGGTAAGGGAAGCCCTGTGAGGGCCCTGACTGCAGGAAGAGCTTTGTCTGCTGCTCCAACTCCATCCCCCATCAGAAGATCCCCTTTGGGCAGAGCCCTGGTGACCCACATTCCCAGTGATCCATGTTGGGAATACAGCTGGCTGGTGCTCTCTGTGCCCTCCTGGATCCCCATGGGTACCTGGATGAATGCAGGGGCAGGAACAGGAGCATCCATCAGGACAGAGACTAACATCAGGAATTCATTGGGAAGAGGAGATTTGTTGACTTTAAACTCCACAAAGTCTCACCTGCTCTGTCCAGGCATTTCTTCTGATAGCATCAAGCAGCATTGGATGATTTTGGAGCCTCCCATGGCACAGCACGGCTGCTTTTGGGCTGTCAGCACTGGCCCAGAGCTGTGGATGGGGCCTGTGGGGGCAGCTGGGGGCATACTGGTGCTGCTGGGAGCGTCCCAGATGGGAGCCAAGGGAACTTGGTGATCAGGGACCACAGGAAGGGGAAGGTGATAGGAAATGTGGGTAAGAAGGAGGAAAGCAGGGTGGGAGCCCCAAAAGGAGTGGGAGGGGAGTGGGATCCCCCAAACCAGGATCAGGGGTGGGAGCTGGGGATTCAGGGCACGATAGGAAAGGTGGGCGATGTAATGACGTTAGAGGGTTCCACGGACGGTTTGGGTGGATACAGACGAGAGATCTCTGCTGATTGCCCTTGGAGGATAAGGTTTATTTGGGATGGAGAGAGGCCCTGCCTCGAGCTGCCAGACACAGCACGTGGCCAGGCCTGAAGTGATGGGTGAGGGGTGAGACAAAGCGGGGAGCAGGGACTCCAGGAGGGGGGATCCAGGAGGAGGGAGGAAGTTCCAAGAGGGCATCTGGCCCTTTGGGGGCCCCTTATCAGGGGGCTTCAAGGTGGTCTGGAACAAGACTTGGGCCAATGGGGTGACAGACACTTGATGTTTCAGGGGAGGGTTACAGGTGTGGGGTGAACCATACGTTCTGGGGGGTGAGATGGAACAGTCCCTTTGGCTTTTGGACCCATCTGTAGGTAAGGGTATTGTCCAGCCAGTAAGGGGCATGATATTCATCCTGGCTGTACTATTGTGGTTCTTCTGCTAGACAATCATATTTATCTATCCTTCCCAACAGGGGGAGAAGAGGGAAAAGAGAGGGCTTTGGACTGAAGCTTTTTTGGGACAACCTAAAATGAGAGGCCAGACAAAATTAAGGATATAAAAAGCAGTTGTATTTATTGAAGGGCCTTCAAATACATTTCAGGCAGATGAAGCTCCCCCAGGAGCTACACCCAAGAATGGATGACAGGTCACAGGTTTTCATACTTTTATTCGTTTGGTCGATTTGCATAGTGGGGGTTAATCTTCCAGTTACAGGTTCAGGTAAGGAAGTAATTTACCCCAAGTTTGCTACCCCCCAAATCACTTTTGTTTACATTTGTGGGGGCCTGAAACACTGAGGCACCCTTGATTCCCAGGCCTGGAGAAGAATTGTTTTGTCTGACCAGAATGGGAAAGCAGCAGTGAACACTCTATATGGAGTTTAGAGTTATACACTAAAGAATTGCAGGATTACAAATATATGAAGAAATATAAAAGCTAAAATTGCTAAGGCATCAATGGCAGTTCAAAAGCATAAAAGGATTCATGACTCCTTGCTAAAACATTTAGATAGAGAGCATTTTCATGGGGGCACTGGCATTGTGCCAGTGTCAAACCATGACAATAAGAGAGACAAATTTCCTCAAAATTTGGTTAACCTTCCAAAAACATTCGGATGAAGAGCAAAATCAGAGAGCAAAATTGGAATCTCTGCTGAATGGGAAAAGGAACCTTAGCAGACAAATGCACTTTGGGCTACTTAAGGCTGCAGAGTGGGAGAGTGCATTGAGAGAGACGCTGGGTACATGGACAGGGATGAGGAGCCAGCAGGGTGAGCACAAGGACATGGACAGCGGGTCAGTGAGGAAGAGTTGGGAAAGTGCAGGAAGAATTAGCATGTGAAAGACAGAGGTGAGCTCAGGCTTGGAAACTTCTAGAAGCAAAGAGAGTGAATAAGCCAGGACAGGAATCAGTAGGACGAAGAGAAGGAGAAAAAGACATAAGTGTGGGACAAGGAGCTGGAGAAGTGGCTGTGGAAGAGGAGGGAGAGCCAGGAGAGCAGGCAGTGGAAGGAAGAGAAGAGGCACCTAAGGAAAAGGGAGAGGCTGTGGAAGGGCAGGCAGAGACAGCGGCTGCTGGGGAGCAGGAAGAAGTTACAGAAGAGAAAGTGCAGGGATCCTTAGGGAACCAGGTGTTTTCCTAAGGGTGAATGATCCTCATAACCCCTAGTCCCAACATGCAGAGGGCTGTCTATTGTTGAGGGGTTTAAATCCCATGGAGAGGGAGAGCAGGCTTTGGGGAAGGCAGTGTTGTTGCTGTGAATGATCAGGAGAAGGAAAAGAAGCTGCAGGGCTGCAAGCAGAGGGGCTCTCACCACCCGGTCTGATTGTATGAGGAGGCTTCAGGCAGAGCTTGGTGATGATGATGAGAGAGAGGGAATCTTAGAGGAAGAATGGCAGGATGTAGAGTCTACAGCCCTAAAGCAAATTGAACCCAGAAATGATTGTCAAGGTCAGCCCACAGCTACCAAACAATGCCAGACATGGCGACTGAGATATGCAAGTTATTTCAGGATCAGTTAACGGAAGAGGTGGGACCACCCTGTAAGTATTCCCACCCTGAATGTGGATGTTGTGTCTGCACTAACCCAAGCACAAGCCGTAGGTGAAAGCACACAAGGAGCTTTCAACAATGGTTCAGTTATTAACCCAAGCCCAGCTCCATCCAACCAAACAAAGCCATTTCTCTGCCTTGGTGCTACAGGACTGGGCCAGGGGAAAAGGAATTCAATGTATTTTTCACCAAACAAGCCAATTAAGCTTAAGCACCACACATGGTGACCAGTTTTCAAGGATTTATCCACTATTGGAGCAGTGACTTAAATATTTATCTTCACTCGGTTCTTTGCGATAGCTGCTAATGTCCATGATAAACAGCATTGTATCCACATGAACGAAATGGTGTGAAAAATCTATTTATCATAAGAAGCTGCAGAGCTTAACCTTTTAAGCAGGTTAATTCTCTTCATCCAAGAACACTCAAAAAACTGCTGATATTACCAGGCCTCTCGATGATTTTTGAACAGTTTTGGGAATCTGGAGATGGCCATCCTGACTGGATGCTGGCTAAGAGTTTTCCAAAAGGTCAAGAAGGATGACCCTGGACACCACAGGCCTGTTTGTCTCACTTCAGTGCCTGGTAAAATTACTGAGATTATTCAGGGAGGCATTGAGAAACATGTGGAGGACAATGCAGTCATTGGTCACAGGCAGTGTGGCTTCAGGAGGGGAAAGTCCTGCTTCTCAAACCTGATTGCTTTTGGCTCTTTATGGCAGCATAACCCACGGAGTTGGTCAGGAGAGCTGATGTCGTCTTTTTGAATTTCAGTAAAGCTTTAGGTCCTGTCTCTGCCAGGATCCTTCTGGAGAAAATGTCTAGCCCCTAGTTTGGTAAACATGTCATGTGGTGGGTGAGCAACTGGCTCAGGGGTCAGGCATGGGTGACAGCGCCTGGGGTGACACCAGACTGGCGACCTGTCACTAGTGGGGTCTGCAGGCCTCCACTGCCAGCCCTGTGCTCTTCATCCTCATGAAGGACCTGGATGCAGGACTCGAAGGAATAGTAAGCAGAGTTTGCAGACAACACTAAATTGGAAGGAGCTGTTGACTCCCTCAAGGGCAGAGAGACCTTAACAAATCAGAGAGATGGGAATCATCAAGCATAGCAGTGTACAGCTTCTTCCTGAGGGGCAGTGGAGGGGCAGGCACCAATCTCTGAGCTCTGCTGACCAGTGACAAAACCAAGGGGATGGCTTGAAGCTGTGCCAGGGCAGGGTCGGGCTGGAGATCTGGAAAGGATTCTTCCCGCGGAGGGTGATGGGCACTGAGTGGCTCCCAAGGGAATGGTCACGGCCCCAAGGCTGCCAGAGCTCCAGGAGCATTTGGACAATGCTTCCAGGCACAGGCTGGGATTGCTGGGGTGGCCTGTGCAGGGCCAGCAGTTGGACTTGATGATCCTTGTGCATCCCTTCCAGTTTAGGATATTCCATTATCCATTGAAAATCCCTGGAGGAAGTGCCAAGTGCTAAAGCACGAAGGTTAATTCCTGGCTCCTGGCCAGGAAGCAGGTACCAGCTGCCTGGTTTGCAGGTAGAAATCTCCATGAAAGCGTTTTGGGTTTCTATGTTCTGAAAGGTGGCACTGCCTGCATAGCAGTGTGGGCCTTCAGTTCAACACTCTTTGTGTCTAGAGTTGAGCCAGGAATGTGCCATGGTGGGGTGCTCCTTTCCTACAGTCACTTCTGTACCGGGACCAGACTTGGGAGTGGGGGGAGCAAGCTCCAGATCCAAGCACCATCCCCTCAAACCACAGAATATTAAAGTATCTCCTCGGGAGTGCCAGATGAAGGGAAAATTTGGGGCAAGGGGGGACATGGCAACACCCCAAAAAGTCCCCCAGATTGTCCCTCTGCCCTCCCCAAACCAGCCCACATTCACCCTATAACCCATCAATCCCCAAACCTCTCCATCACCTTTCACCCATCATCATCACCTCAAAATTCATCACCCCAAAACCCATCACCCCATAACCCATCACCCGAATCCATGGTCATCCCCACAACACCCACCCATCATAATCACCCCTAAAGGCATCACCTCTCACCCATCAATTACCCCAAAATTCATCACCCCCACCTATGACCCCATAACCCACCACCGTCCAAACCATCCCTAGAACCCCACACCCACCATCATCACCCTAAAAATCATAGCCTTCCATCTTTAATCACCCCAAAATCCATCAGTCCCCACCCATAATCACCCCAAAATCCACACCCCACCCCATAACCCCTCACCCCCCAATCCGTACCCCCTCACTTGCCCCATTCTGCACCCCCAGCTCTGCCCTGGCCCTGCTGTGGCTGTGTCCCCTCCTCCTGCACACGGAGCACAGCTACTGCTGCAGGGGTGGCCTCATCCTCTCGTGTCCCCTTGGGTCCCTGCGGCTCTTTGGGCCCCTTGGAGGGTCGGTAACGCCCCCTGGAACAGCGACCGGTGTGCGCTGGCCTTGGGGACACCCCTGTAACCTCCCGTGTCACCGTCGGTGTTGGGGTGGCTGTAGGAGCGTTTCCAGCCCTGCAGCCACACTCAGCGCTGCCCCCGGGGACCCCCCACCCCT